CAGTCTGTCTTCTTCCCTACCCCTCGCCACTGGCTACTAGTGATCTGATTTATGTCCCTATTGTTTCGCCTTCGCAGAATGTGAAATATAAGTGGAGTGATATAATATGTAGTTTTTTGTGTCTGACTTATTTCTCTTGTGTTTGAATCTTTTGAGATTCATCCATTTTGTTGTATATATTAGTAGTTCGTTCCTTTTTTATTGCTGGGTAGTATTCTATTTTCATTCGTTTATTAGTTGATGGACATTCGTATTGTTTCCAGTTCGGGCTACAAACAGTTATGTACAGTTGTGTGAACACATGCTGTCATCTCTCTTTGGTAAATATAGTAGTTCCCCCTTATTGGTGGTTTCGTTATCTGTGGTTTCAGTTACCTGCAGTCAACCATGGTCCAAAAATATTAAGTGAAAAATTCCATAACTAAACAATTCATAAGTTTTAAATTGTGTGCCATTCTGAGTAGTGTGATGGAATCTCGCACCATCCCATTCCATCCTGCCTGGGATGTGAATCCTCCCTTTGTCAAGCATATCCACACTTTATACGTTCCTTGCCTGTTAGTCACTCAGTAGCCCTCTCACTTATCACATTGATTGTTATGTATTTCAGTGCTTGTGTTCACATAACCCTTATTTCACTTAATAGTGCCACATTCACATAACTTTTACTACAATATATTGTTTAATTGTTCAACTTTACTATTAATTACTATTGTTAATCTCTTATAGTACCTAATTTATAAATTAAACTTCATGATAAGTATATAAGTACAGGAAAAAACATAGTATATATGGACTTCAGTACTATGTGTGGTTTTAGGCATCCCCTGGGGGGTCTTGGAACACATCCCCTGTGGATAAAGGAGGACTATTGTCCCCAGGATGGGATGGCTGGTTTGTATCACCAGTCTGTGTGTAACTTTATAAGAAATTGCTAAACTGTTTTGCAAAGTTGCTTTTTCATTTTCCATTCCCATGAGCAGTGTGTGAGAAAGTTGCTTCACATTCTTACACTTTACAAAATTTTAGTAGTTCTAGTGGGTGTATAGTGGTAGCTCACTATTTTCATTTTCATTTCTCTTCAACTAATGATGTTAGGCATCTTTGTTTATTTTAGAAGGTCATGTTTTAGCAGTCTGTTGGATTTTCTAGATATGAATAACAATATCAGTGGCATTTAAAGTGAAAATTTCTTTAAAAAATTTGATAAAGTTTTAAACAGTCACTTCTGCCAGGTTCATACTGTACAAAAGATGGTTAGGGTGTAGAAACTATCCGTTAAATTTGGGCAAAGGGTGACCCATCTGGGTGACTGAATAACAAGACCCAGAAGGAGTGTACCCAGGACTTGAGCATGAAGCTTGGCAGAAAGCTGATTTCATAGCTCCACTGGCCTTGGGAAGGCCTGCTTCATGCTTAGCTAAACCTAGTGTTTGTGAGAAGCAGACTCAGGTTCAATTACATTTTCCCGGATGCCCTAGGAGTCACCTGGGAAGCTCAGCAGTCCTTTGTGGCCATCACATAGTTCCTGCTG